GATTGGACATGTTGGGGGGGTACCCCTCGGTCTCATTTCTTGCTGGATATGGTTTCATTTGCACTGCAGTAAGTAGTTGAAGACCCTTATAGCAGCAGGCATTGTAAGACACCCATGTTTCCCAAGTATTTGCTATCTGCTGTTTGCATGGCCCAATAAGAGTTTTGTTGGCCAAGCTATACAAGCCTAGAGCAAGGCACCAGCCTAATAGCACACTACTCAAGGAAATCTCACCCTCAAAAGGAAAGACTTAACTGTTTGAGGTATTTCTGAATGCAGGTTCAAGCGCGACAGTGCAGGGCCAAGTATCAACTGTGCAATTGAACGTCTGTCTAGACTGTGAAAACTCTTCCGGGGTCCTTGTTTGTAGTAAGTCAATCCTCGTATGTTTTGGCAAATCATTTTGTTGAATATTTGTGGTTGTATGTGATGAGAACTTGGAGTGTTGTGTTGATTTTCCACCCAATCAGGACTCGGTTTCATGGTGCTATTAGGAACCTCTTTCCTCTCAGGAAGACTGTATGCACTTTGAAGCCTTGCCCCCTTGCCAAAAAACTCTATGGTTATTTGATGACTTTGCAGTGCCAAATGTTTTCTTGTGCCTGATGCCTGTCATATCTACCATGTGATTTTGTGAGTTTGGAATAAAGTTTGTAATTTCCAAGAGTGATAAAGTAATGCAGATCACCAGCCAAACAAATAAAAACAGTTTGATATCAATTCCAAAGACATTTGGAAATCAAATGACACAGGTCAGGTGTAATGGGGACAGGAAGATGTCACACTTTTGGACCCCGAATTTATAGAATGACCCTCTAGCTGCAGACAGAATTTGCTTAAAATGAAATAGAGATGTAACAGTAAGAATCTCGTAGATGCTACAGGCTTGTGTGCCTTTGATCATAATCTCTGTTCCTGCACGAAATGGACACTTTCAAGCAAAAGACACGAGCTGTAGCGTGGAATGTATTTGATCAGGGTTATTGCCAGTTGCTTGCCAGGAACATGTGGCTGTTTATAAAAAACCCTAAATGTAATTTAATCTCAGTCTTTCTGATGATGAACAAGTTTTCATTTATTACATTTGAATGGGAGACTTTTGAGGTGCTTGATGTTGGTAAACATAACGGTCACACTTGACTGACTCAACCTCAGTTTGTGGCATGTTTGAGCTAATATGCTCATGACACAAACAATAATGGATTGCTCATGGTATATTTACCCAACTCCCAATTACAACTTCCAGTACAATGTCCACATCTGTGATAGGTATTGTGACAATTACACAACATTACCAGACTATTCCTTTGTCATACCTTGGAAGGTTCCTGTGATAAGACTTTTCACTTTTAAAAGTCACTCAAAAAGACAGCCTTCAAATTACGTCAGCCTCACTCTTCAAGTAATTTTCATGATGTTTTGTAGCTCTGCGCACTTCCACAGTTTTGCTTTAATTGCAGGCAGTACTCCAAAAGCGGAATTTAAGCTTCAACTCTTAGTAGTAGATCTACTAACTTCTATCAGCGTGCACTTAAAGGAGCAGGCTTGTTCACTGGATAGCATCATGTGTGTGCGTGTCTTCTACAAACAATCATTGACTGGCAATGGGCAGTTGTTCAGCGGTAAGCATATATAAACGTTATAGCTGTGGATGAACAAACTTGACTGGTTGCACTTGAAGTAGGCATTTTAGGTTTCAGATGATCGGTATGTAAAAGAATTCCTTGATCATTTGTTGAATGAAGCATCAAAATTGTGTGATTGCAGCCTCAAAATGGGATTTGAAGAGAAACCTTTTTCTTAGGTGTATGATAATATTTTTCCATGTGGTTACACATGAGGGTCGTCCAGCTGACTTTGATCAATATTTGAAACTCTTCACGTAAATCATTCTGAGCAAAACTTCACCAGTTTAGAAACTGTATAATTGGTCATTTATTTTCATTTATTAATTTCTGCAGGTAAAAGTCACAAACACATACATGAATGTAGAAAAGGTGACAAGATAAATGTTTATAGCAACACGCCTGCAGGATTGTAAAAAAAAAGCCCAAACCAAATTACCGTTGCTGTCCTATATGTACCACTTAAACCGCACAAAGAAACAAATACATGTTTCTTGTACATGAAAAACAGGAATGGAAAGAAATATATGACACAATTAAAGGAATGATTAGCAAGATTGCTATGATTTAAGTAAATTGAATTTAATCAGAGGTGTCTCATAGTTAAGACCCGGTCATAGTCAACAATGATGTAAAAGAAAAATAAATCTGATGTCACAAGGGGGTTGGAGCAAAATTCATAAGAATTCAGAGGCTTTGTACTGTAGAGGCTTTGGGAGGTCACAATTTACTGCCTGATTACTGATGTATCAGTGCAATGATGTTTGCATTGTAATTTAACCAGCCTTCTAGAGTACCAAAGTGTGAGGTCATTTGAACCACGAAGTGTAGTGTAAATTCAGGTGTACTCACATGTGTTGGTTTATGTGCTGGTTCTTGCGCTAATGCCTTTTACACACTTAAGTGTGCGCGTGTTCACTTGGAACTCTCTATTGTATTAATTGCATGTTAAGCTTCCTACATGTAGGTCATGCTTGATGACTTCCTGATCTTTCTGAATAAGTCTTCTTGATTCCCCATTTTCGGCTCTGTTCCACCCACAGCACTGACAGGAGAATTTGATAAACTGTTGCCAGCGACTCCTGCCACATGTCTGGTACCCGTACTCTCTCTAGCAGAATCCTGTGCAATTACAGCTGTGGTGTTCCTCCAGAGGTAGCACATCGGATACTGGCAGACATTGCACCTCAGCACTCCAACGACAGACGGCGACGCAGGAACCATTTATCATGCTGTAGGGATTGGTTCCATTCTGCCACTTTGGATTCTACTTGATCCTTGAAATTTTGATCCAAAAAAAAAGCCAGGAGTTGAATCCTGCCAAATCTTATGAATTCATGTATAGTTATGAAGTTGGAGCTGAGCGTTATCTTGTGGACTGCATTTGAATTGTCACTTAACACAGACACCTGCAGCAAGCCCATCGACCGTGGGCTTTCCATGTAGTCTCCTTTCTGTTATTTTACACTTGTAATTTATTTAAAATATGCAGAACTATTGAACCACTTAAGATGAGAATATTTTGTCCAAATGCATGTATTTTGACTTATGAAAAACAGGGATTCAGTGGCCAAATTTTGATATACTGTTGAACGGCACAAATTTTGGCTTGTTGGAATCATTCGAGCAGTATTTTGCAGCACTCTTGGGTACTGCCACTGAGTGATATTTCCTTTAATGTACCGTGTACATCGGACAGGTTCAATACATGGTCCCCCTTCTAAGACCTCTCAGAGTGTGTGTGGAGAAACGAAGAAGAGACTAGCTGTGACTTTGGGTGCACATGGCGGTTTATACTCTCATCAGCCATCCTCACAAAGGCAGACTACCAGATCAAGTGAACATGTCCCCTGTTGCCATGTTCAATCTGGTGAACTCAAAAACATTTTTCAATTTACCGGTAGTTCACTGCCGAGTGTGCCTTCATCTGTAAATGCCTATAGGAACCACTAATTAAATTTGTCTCGTTTTTCTAACAGTGTGCACAAAAGGTCCATTCATACCTGTCTCAGCAGAACAAAAGCAGATTGTCCACTGTCTGTGGTGGTTTATACGTAAAGCATGTTTCCTGTGTCAGAATTAGACAGTGTCCGAAACAGGTGTTGTCAGCATGATTGACATATTTTCCAATGGTCAAAAACCTAGCTCTGGGCAACAGTTTCAGAGGTAGCCTGAAACATCAGTTTTCATAAACAGCTTTTCAGGATCCCTTCTCAGCTTGATTCAACAACTTATCCTCTACTGGCTGTTCAAATCTCTACCCCTCCTCTCCCCTCCCATTTACAATGGATGGCAGAAACATAGAACAACTAAATGAACCGGCAAGTTTGACGCTGGGATGTTTCAACTGTCCCAAATACTTTTTATTTCATCGACTAGTGTTGAAAAAAAATTAGCCACATTGAAGCAGGGGAATTGTACACGATAAATAATGCCCCGAGACAGGCCACAAGAAAGAATAATCCATGAACTGAAGCAGGTGGTATCTACATATTCTGTACTAAACACTAGATCCATGTGTGAACAGAAAATAAATGAGCACTGAAAAAGGACTGATGTCATTTTGCACTTGAAGTGGCAGCCAGACATGTTTCCATTTGCATACTTTATTACAAATGATTTTGAAACATCAATGCTTACCAAAGGAGAAATTCAGAGCAAATCATCCCTGCCACCAACATATATGTGACAGCAATGACATGGGCTACAGACCTATATATCATTTATCGGCACAAATTGTTGCAAACTTTTTTATAAAAGTGTTGCTGTTCTTAGTTGCAGTGATAGACTAATTCTTGCTACATTGTATCAACATAATTCCTAAGATTTTCTTTTTTTCAGTTTCAGAATCAAGAATTTTCCAAACTTAGTTACATTTACTTTCAGAGAAAAGAAAGATGTCATGTCACATCAAAATATACAATTCTATTCACTGCACATCTCTTGCTAAAAGCAAAAAGCAAGGAAGAGACAACAACATGGAAAGCAAGTCACCAAAATCCAATGCAAAATGATTCTTTATGTCTGCAAGATTGCATAGTGCAAGGCATCCTTGGACTTGTATGTAAAGACGAGGGCACGGAACTGAAATGGATGTAAGATAACATCCTTTCAGTGACAAGTGAATAGACCAAGTGTTTATATGTGTACTGTTGCAGAAAGTTGACTGATGATTTAAGCTTTCATATGACCCACCCAACATTTTGGAGCCTGAAAGTATTAAAATTCAAGAATATTTTTCATTGTCCTGAAATCTAAAGTTTTCAAAAAGAGGTTGAGCAAGAACCTCTTGAACCCCCCCAAAAATTTTGTTACCACCCCCAAGACTGCTGTTCAGTAGGAATGAGGAGATATTGAGAGCCAAGTTTGTTGAAGAAGTGTCTTTATCCATTAAAGTTTCAAGCACTGCACAACTTTCTTATGCAGAAATCAAATCACTGTTGCATTGCCTTATTTATGGACAAGCCCCCCATGGATGTCAAAAATTTCTCTACACAGTCAGCAGATACTCAATATCTTATTGCCATTACACCAAAGTTAATAGCCATTTTCGAAAGGCTACTAAACAAATAAGAAATCACTGGCTATTTTACAAAACAGAAAATCATTTTCGGCTGTTAAAGCTGCCGTGATTTTCAGAAGTCATTCATAGATTAATTGAGGTATATCTAGTAAAACAGCAAAAACCACCAAATCAACTGTCCATTTTCAATAATTTTCCAAATTTCTGCACAAATATGTAAACCAACTTGGACTAAAGTTAATTCATAGGACTAAAAACTATTTGTATCATATTTATATTTATCTCATATACTGGCAAATATGTCGGCATATATCTAAATACATTTGTGGAGTTCCCTCTTTCAATACCAAACATTTTTTGAGTAAGTGAATTGGTAACAAGGTAACATAAATTAGAAAACAATTTAATGATTAGAAAACAATTTAATGAACAGGCAAAATGTAAGACTTAGTCAAGCTCTCGTAATATGTGCGCAACAAGATCTGGTCACCAGAAACCATCAGGATGCATAGTATGATGACTGGTTTCTGTCTTGTTTTACACTTAGTCAAATCAAACTGCCGAGCCAAACTTTCTGCCGAACAGCTTCATGACATATTTGGCCCACATCACATCTGCTGGTTACAATTACTGTTTTGCTTGCATGTGCACTGATGCAGGGACAGCAAACAAACCTATATACTCCTTTCTGAATTTTAATGCCATTCTTATTTTACCTGTGTTATGCCAAATTTAACAGATCCCAAAACCCTGTACTCTGATCCTCTCACAAACGTTGGTTTGGATTACATGATTGTTGGTGGCCTGTACAGGGGTGCATTTTGCATAACCACTGGTAACACCTGCCTATACTGTGGTGTAATTTTGTTTTCGTAACCATCGGTAACACCTGCAATTAACTTCCCTGTGGATTGTCGGTGATTCCACCGGTTCATAAATTGGCATAGTTGAGTAGTAGGAATTATACACTGATAACAGATGGTACAAATTGAAACGCAACAAAACCAGACATATATAATCACTGTCTTGCCCATAGAGATAGGCTGCAATCTGATACTATGTATGTACTTCCAACATGTCGTTCTGTAATGCCCACAGCTTTTCTGCACCGAGTGATTATGCCATGTCTGAAACAGACCTCCAACCCAATGGCTAAGTCTACTGCCAGCATGTGCCAACGTATTTGCAAATGACCTAGCCCTAGACACAAGATTTTGGTGTGGCCCATGCGGTACTAAAGTTGGAAATTCACTCTTTAAAGGTAATACAAAAGTACAGATTTTTTCTTTTACTTCTGAATAGGAGTACAAAACAGTCCTGGAATGAATAGAATATGTGGCAGTTTTTAGAACTCAAAGATACTTCACTGCTACACATGGAATATACAGAACAATAATTTGTGAACATTAGAATAAATAATATATAATACACGCATAACAACTCTACTGGGGATTAGATAGGAGTATAAATTTAAATGTAATCAAATTTTTCAACATGTAAGGGGCATAGACAATGGTATTTTCAATTTGCACAAGGAAAATCTTGAAATGTGTATAACTTGTAAATAGATTTTTAATTGATTTGCAGATGAAGTTTCAGGAAAAGGGATTAATAGTTCCATCAAATCGTTAAAAGGATTTTTTTAATTTAAAAAGAGAATCAGAGGCAAGTTTATTTCCAGTTGAGAATTTCAAAGCATGAGGTTTTACGGGCAGATTGTCAGTGTTTAATATTCAAATAATTTTTTTAAAAAGACCCCACCCCCCAAATAACCTCAGGCTAAAACAAAGCCCCACGACAAATGAGCATTTGTGATGGCGCTTTCAAAGTTTGTTTCTGAAACATTTTAATCAAGCATTGTGCATGAATTGTTTTTGGACACCAAATGTAGTCAAATTTGTGGTGCAGTTGGTCAGTTTTGTTGCAGATGGCTTCGATGTAATGCAGTCGTTTACTCATTTAGTTATTTTGCCCACTGCGTGTTAGATGCCTCTGTAGTCGATAGTCATAATACTCTCTGCCAATTGTGAGACGTCAGTGAATACAGAACAGTTTCGGCCGGGGCAAAGACGATTCCTTTATATCTTTTTCCCCCTGAATTTTAAATACGGGTTCAGACACCATTTTACGATCATGATGGGGAATTTTTTTTTAATTTAGGAGAAGGAAGGGAAACTTTTCATATCAGTAAAAGCTGAAGTGGTACATTTATGTTCCTTTCACCCCAAGTACCCAGGTAGGCTGCAGGTTTTGTACAGGGAAATGCAATTAAAAAACTGAGCAGCAATGTTTATTGTCAAGTGCCTACATGAAAGACGTATGGAGTAGCAGAAGTGAGTACATCACTAAACTGACTTGAGAGTACGGGGTTATTTGAGGCTTTTCGTACAGGAGAAAAACAGATTTTTTTCAGTGTACAGAATTGTGAATCTCATTAATACTACCATTTCTTTCGATGTTCGACATAGATCCAAGAAGTGGTTTTTAGCATTAAACATCTGGTCACCATCACAGCCAGATTGAGCCAACATTTACAGTACCACAAATGGAACTGACGCAGCCTTGACAAATGCCTCTGGTCGTAGCGGGGAAACAAGTCTTGGGTCAAGACATTGTTGATGTGTGAAATAACCCAATGCCATGAGAAAGATGTCTTGACCAAAGATTATAAGGAAACAAGCTTTCAGTATGCACTGTGCTACACAAATCCAAGTCTGCCATTGAAATGTCTTTTAGATACGCTTAGTGAAGAATATACCCTCCAAATGTTTGGAACATTTTCCAAGAACACACACAGAGTGCCACAATGACCTGTCTTACCTGTAGCCATTTTTCACCCACATACAAACGACTTGTTACTGTTTGAATAATTTTGGTTTACTAGATTGCTGCATTCCTAATTCTACGTCATATACAGCGTACAACACTCAGAAATTAGCTTGAAAAAGTTTGTCAATAAATATTGATTATTGAAGACTTGGCAACACACCGTTATTAAGTTATATACAGAATTAGAGCCACAAAGTTTGAAAAATTGGTAAAGTACACTGTACAAGCTGCCTCTGCAGGAAAAACTGAGAAACCAAAGCAGCTGCAGACATGATGAGGAAACACAACATTTTACAGTATATGGAAAGTCAACCCTGCTCAATATGGTTTCACTCAGATTTTGTTGAGCAGGATCAAACACTTTTTATAAAAAGGTCCCTGTAACTCAACGTTTTATCAAAATTTATTTATATTAGATCAAGTCACATGTACGTGCTGCTAACTTAACGTGTGAAATGTTCCACCAAAAAGCTTCTTCATTTTTGTTTGTTGTTGCACATGTTTTGCACATTCGCAAGTACATGTACATGCTGCACTGTGTTATCCAGCTGAACATAACCGAATCAGAAAAACGTGTATCAAATCATCCTTAATCAGGGGAAAAAGAAAAAGATCAATGTTTTTCGTTTGAGTCCATTGTGACAATATTGCACTCCCTAGGCTGCTGTAAAATTACACACAGTACGCAATGAAGCCGCATCTGCTAAAGCACACATTCTGGAACACAGATTTCTTCAAGGTTAATGGAAAAATGCCACACTCGAATAAGGAAAAACAAAGTTAAAACATCACTGAAGCAGTAGTTATTTCAGTAAACCCCGACAGAATCCATTCATGGCCACAGCTTGGTGTCATGGAATCCTGACGGTCGATGGACCAAATTTGAAAAAAATCATCGAAACAATAACAAAACAACAGGAACAAACTGACAAGCACTGACAAGACACTTGGATTCAACATAAACTCAAAACATCAGGTAACCCCAAAATACATCTCTTTGAATACACTTGCACGGCCCAAACTAAGTCATAAATATGTTGATGTAATTCTCCTTCCAATAATGCTTAGAAATTGGACATTCTTTGATAAAGCTCTGCAGGCAGAGAAATTCTCATACAAACACGACCTAAGAATGCAGAGTTATTCCTTTCACACGTCAACATGTATCAATGGAAGGAGAGTTGAAACTAAAATTCTGTTTGAATAAACTATGCATTATGTTAGATGTACGCACTTAGTGTAAATTAATTACATCTAATCAGGCTACATGCAGGGAGCAATTCGAGAGCAGACAATTGTCGGTGAGCGCAACCATAGCAACCTGATACAGTTGTCATAACGAGCCTAATTTCCAGCACAATGCACATTAGCTGATGCCAGCATTAAGCTCTAGGGAATGTATCACATGGCTGTGGAGTTTACCCTCTTAATTTAACCTTGTTGATGAAAAAAAAAACACCCCAAACACCTGTTTGTGACGAACAAAAACGATCACGCACAAGAGTCTGATATAGTATGTCAAATGAAACACGGTGTTCAAAACCTGATAACCAAACCAAACAAAAATTTGCCAAAAAAAAAAACACAAACAAACAAAATAAAAAACTAAGTTACCACCTTACATTTTACACTGATTACTGCTTTCTAACATTGTTGCACAGAGACTGGTAAACAAAGACAAAGCTGCAATGGTGCTTAATGCAAAATATTGCCCCTAAAATACACTCAGTTTTACAAGCACACCTCGTTAAATACAGTATTATCTCATGAATGAATGTTATTTACAAGGAAGCTACTCCAAAACTGCATGTTATATACCGTACCACTATTGTAATAAATAAGATAAACCAAACAAGTACTGGTTCTTTGCTGCACCGTGTGAAACTTTTTCACATGACCAAATTCAGAAATGTTGAACAAATGATGAATATTCTATAAACAACACAGCTAAAATAAATAACTTAATATGGCAACTGTTAAGTTTATACTTACATGTACAGTAATGACTTGATGCTATTGCACACAGCGCTATATCTATAGCAACAAACCTTAAACAATGTCTGAAATAAATCATTTTGCAAATAGTAGAATTGCATTTAAATAATTTAAAAAGTAGCCACAGAGGATGGCAGAAACCTTCATACCTTCAACCAGCATGTATCAATCGGCGGCTGAGTTGGCATGACATACCGCCATGATATTGAAACATGTGGTAAGCAAGGATGCAAAAGGAAATAATTTATTTGTTGCTGGCAAGCTGATAATTGGATCACTGTCTGTGAGTCCACCTAATTCATTTATCAGGTCAGAAGATCTACTGATCTTTACATCCACAGAAAAATCCCTCCGACTCCCACAAAAAGCTCTGATGCTGTACTGTATTTGACCTTTTTAACCAGATGACCTGGATGTTGCTTTCACAAATGACCATGGTGGTTCTTATGATACAAAATTGCACAAGAGGGAAAAAAAAGGGAGTTTCTTCTCAATTCGGTGAATCCTCTGATGCAGTAAATTTGTCGAGTATACATGTACACATATTCCTAAGAAAGAAGCTTTGTTGTCGCTCAGAACAACTTGGAACTGTTTGGCAACAATCATAAACGAACTCGTCACTCTTGCTTATGATCCCATATGCTCATACACACAATCATGGCTAATTTGAGTTTACATTGGTTTTGATAACAGTCCCTTAATAATAATGGGAGAAAACTTTGCAGACTACATGTACGCACTCAGGAAGGTCTGACATCTCAACCATGTCGGGGGGAGGGGGAGAGAAATGTTGCATACCAGCAGTTGAACCCTGCATAGGATGACCTCTCCAAAGCTACAGTTACTCAACAAGTAAATCTTGAAAATGTTTGCCTGGCCACTACCTCAATAACAAGTGATTTTGTTTTGTGATTTTATCTGAAATCATATGGCAGCTCTTGAACACAGAGTACTTTTAAAGCTTCATTAATGAATCAGGCTATAATTGGAGCGTGGTTGATCCACACTGGTCACAGCATCCTGAGCGTCCTAGTTTCGTTCTTTACCTCACAATAAACAGATATTGGTTCTGATTACCTCTTTGACGCCGTCACACCTTTGTCAGGCAAGGCATCATATATGAAACTATTGCCCTCTTTCCAGAACAGCCTAAATCTTGATATCATCCTCAACCCAAAAATCTTTTCCAAGTGTGCCCCGAAGCATGCACTCATTCCGTTGTGATTCCCTTCAACAAGGACCAGGCATTTTTAAAATGGCAAACTACCACTGCCAGGTTGCCTGCTACCCCTTACTCGTCCAGATGATAACATCATAGGCTACCAGGCTACACAGGATGACGTACACCAGCCACAGTAGGAAAAAGCCACCACTGGTTATCCATTTGATGGTCGAGGGTCCCCCAAGCTCGCCAGCAATGACCGCCGACTTGCGCCGCACCATCAGCGTAATGATGGCCACGACGGCTAGGATAGTGAACAGCATCACGGAAAAGCCCAGTGCTCCAGGATCTACCTCAAAACCATGGGGTTCATTATGGTTAGCAATGGCCGCCATGGTCCAGGCGACTCCAATGCCTAGGAACACGTTGACTGCGTTGCTACCTGTCACGTTACCAATAGATGCATCGGCATGTTTGTCCCCAACTGCAGCCACCTTGCTCGCAAAAGTGTCTAGTGGTAAACAGATGGGAAAAAGTTGGAGTTGGAAGTAATACAAATGGGAATGGACATTCCAATTTTATGGGCATCAAACAGGGTTATGCTCCAATCCTGCCCATTGTTTAGTTAGAGAAAATCTCAGACAGTTATGAACAGAAGAAACAGCCAATTTGAAAAAAGCATTTACCTGGCACGCTGGTCCCTAGTGCCACAAATGAGATGGCAGTCACGCTGGCCTTCAGCCCAATAGTACAGCCAAAGTGTTCAGCTAGGTCGCCGATGAAGGCCGTCAGAACGCCGATCACGACGATGGAGAAGACAAAGCAGGCATAGCCGCCCAGGAGGTCAGTAGGGGGCACGATGGCAAACAACAACTTCCAGAAGATGGTCAGGAAATGCATGACATAGTCGCCACATGACGGCAGCTTCTCCTCACCGCCATCTTCATCGTCATCACCTGTGGTTCAAGGGTTAAAGGTTAGCAGAATAGGCAATGAGTCAGTGCATAAGCAGGAAGTGCGGTAAAGTTGTTTGTGGTCTTCATTTAGCTGGAGAACGACGAGCCTAAACTGGATTCCTAACTCCCTGGTCACAATGTCAAAGTTTCTGAAATGATTGTTGATGAATGTATGCTTAAGTACATTTCAATGAACTGTATGAATTAAGGGTCACAGGAGTGGTGTAACTACATGTATGGGGGAGCTGGGGGTACATCCTCCTTCCCAGCATACCACACATGTGTGCACCACTCCTGGTGTCCCCTCCCCCCCCAAAAAATTTGAAATGTACACAACCTACGTACAAGCCCCTCTAAAAAAAACCTGTGCATCCCCGGTTGATCCCCCCTCCCAAATTTCATCCCAGTTATGTCACTGGATTGTAGGTCATACAGACAAGACATGCGACATTGTTTCAACTAGCCAGTGTGACCCATACTGGGGCTGGGGCTGAGACTTCATGTTGATCTACATGCAACTTCTTCAATTGGTTTTGTCAGTACTCTGCATCAGTGTTGTTATGGTTGTAGCCACAAACTAATTTGAGTACAAAAAAAAAAACAGTACCAAATTGGGAAAGTTTTCATGGGTACAAGTACATGTACAATGAAAGACCAAGACCAAGTCTCTGGTAGGACGAGACCTGGACCACGGTATCAAGACATATCCCTCAATATGTACATACATAAACACACTGTCATAATGCAGGTTTTGGCCCTCATGTACATGTATATATATGTAACATACCTGCACTGACTGTGAGGGCCTCCACAAACTGCTCTCTCCAAGAAGAGGTACCAACCACCAAGGAAACATTAGTTTTCTTGATCAACTTGTCAACAGTGTTCTGCAATTGGAAAAAAACAGATGCAGGGATTCTAGGTCATTCTTCATGAGGTACGGTAAATCATCTCTCAACTCTCAGGCAAACTGGGGTTTTCCTTTGAACAAATGTCCACAGTTTTTTCTGTCTACCTTTTCCAATTCATAGAGAAAAAGAAGAAAAAAATTGCAACATGTCTCTGTCTCTCTGCTGGGTACCTTACTGACCAGAAGCAAAACCCCTCCTTTGAACCCAAAAATCTTAACTCAGAAACAGGGAAAATAAAGACCTGCCATCTGGACCCCATGCTTGGCTTGCTAAAGAAAACCAGAGTCTTGGCCATGACATCAGAGTATAAATAATTTACACTGATGCATGCCCAGGAGCCTGGGTCTTGGCACTCCATCGTTGATTTCCTAATACAGACTTGTACATGTACGGTCATCCAGGTGGAAGTGAAACCAGGCTCGAGAGAGATGAGACAGCTTGCAGAATTCACACATAATGCCCAAGGATCTGGGTCATCACCAGCCTGATCTGCACATAAATACATGCTGCCTGTAGTGTTAATCAATAGGCAGCACTGGCTGGCTGGCCAGAATGATGTCACTGCATGGCTACTGGCAAGGGCGGATTCAGACCCAATTTTAAAGGGGAGGGGGGATTTCTTCTTGTCAGCTTTCATGGTATTCCTGATGGACGATGTGGAGGCTTTATACATGTACACTTTTGCAAGGACAGAAAATGAAAAATAGTGGGGGAATGGCAGCTTCAGTTGCCCTCTTGATCCGCCCTCGGCAACATGTGATTTAGATAATGTATGCTACACTTGTACTTACTTGTTAGATGACATGTATGACATAACAATTTGCTACTCCTTTTAAACGTTTTCGGTAAGTCCTAGTGATACTTTGACTTCCACAAAAGGCAATATTTTTTATGAGAGGTAGAATAATTTACAAAATGGTGTTCATTTTGGACAAAGGTAAGCACAAGTACCGATAACGCACTGAATCATTTGGTTGCTTCAGAGGAATCCTATGCACATGTTGATAATACCCGACCTACATTTGGCTTACGTTAACCCCGTAACTGCTTTCTCAATTTCAGGTGTACAAAAAAAAGTTGGTGACACATACAAGATAAAAAAATCGAAGGAATCACAGGAAAGCCCTTGCTTCATGAGCCACAATTATTCCTTAAGGTTCAATCGGTTAGAATTCTACATTAATCAACAGACAGTGTTGCCGGGATCGAGCAATTCCTCTGGCAATTGGTCCTTTCCAATATTCTCAGTTATCGGGTTATTGGTACATCTACTCGGGCACTCATTTCCAGTTGACATTTGAGGAAAATGAGATTTTCTTCTAAGTGCTACTCCTGCTTCGAGTAGCTCATCAAGGAGCATGTGGAATCTTGTAAATGCTATATCACTGAGGTGTGATTTTCCACAAGCACTGGATTCGTGTCTTATATCAAGGCCTTACACATTATACCTGTGTGCACAGAAACATTTGACATTTGAAGACGCCGCTGGAGGGGAGAGGAGACATTGGCCTAAAATGCCTTCCAGCAGAATTTGTGTTGACCCGTCACTCATCACTCAAAGAGTAGTCACATGGGTTCCAATTAGGAGGTACATGTACATGTAGGTCAGTCTTATTTGGCAACAATCTAGGGCCTTCGCAAAATACAAACTATTCAAAAAACTATTCAGAACACTTATGAAGTCCTGTTTGGGTTGAGGTTTCCCAGAGCTGCAAGTACATAGATATGTCGAACCACAAATGTATTTAAGTGCTAAATAAATTGATAGGTCTCAAACTGAGTTCAGATTCAACCATGAAATAGCCTTAGAATGAAAAAAAGCAAGTTATATCGTGAATACTCAAGTAGCATAAAAAATGCAGGCCAGTCGTTAAAACAACTGATTCTTGAATTCGAAATGCCTGTACCAATAAATAACGTACAGAACGTACACATGTGACTTACATTCAGTCTGTGTTGCTCTACATGTGTGCTCTACATGTGCATACCATACATGTTGACGAGTAAACTTACATTACTTATCTACATGTACATGTGTTACTGCATGGTGCAAAACCAGGGTGCGAATTCATTCAAGTAAGTTGTGGTCACAGGCCCTGTATAGGTGTTCCCTTGTACCAAAGACATGACTCATTGACTCTTGACATGTCACAGACCCTGTGCACCATGTGCACCATGTAAGTGCTATACCCACCGGCAGGCCTGGCAAGAAGCAGCCTTCAAGTGGGTGTTGGAGGTTGCCATAACACCCCTCCTTTATAGGCCTAGGGTAAGTGACCTGGAAGTGTTTTAATTTATACATGTATAAGTCATTAATTTGAGGGCTCCAGAGGACACAGTCCAAGTTTAAGCAAGAAGACGAGGCTGTTTTGATTATCGCACCTTTCAAAACACACATTACCAGTATGTACATATAGAATGCACGTCTTATTTCAATTACCAAGAGCTAGTACGATAAACACAGCAGTGTTTATGAAATTGAAAAAAAAGCACCTTCATACCCTGCTTCTTAAACTTCGGGCCCGTTAACCATCTCATTTTCTACATCAAGAAAAATCATATTTTTCGCCCTCTTTTAGCCCATAAAAATTATTGTTAAAATTCAAGATCAGGTTTACTTTTACATGCGTATACATATCGAAACACGTGTGAACAAACAACATATTGCTTACCCCACTGAACTTTACTGCACCAGTGACTTTCATTTCTGGACCTTCCAATATCAGTAACCATGTTGAAATTAGGTTAATCACACAGATATCTAGTACATGTGCATGCATGCTCGATCAAGATAACGTAATTGTAATAAGGTTAACAGATGTTATGATACTGGTAACACTGGTTCCCTCTAACAAATATATGCCTCAACATGCACTTTACCAGCTAACAATCTTTTTCTGATCAAGCAATGCCACTGAATTGAGCATCCAAACTTAGCGTTTGTCAGTCAGGTTCAAAATCAAAAATCAAATGTTGCAAAACAGAGCTTAAATTTATTAGGAAAGTACAATACCCCCCCCCCCCCCCAAAACACCAAAAA